TTGCTTTGGTGGACCAAGCATGAGGTGCCCAATGTGCAAGTCTGAGGGATTCTAAGCTCACCAATCGGTGAGCGCTATGGGAAGTGGCCAATCAGAGTATGGTTTTGAAGTTGAGGTTTTGAAGGGGAGCCAATCATGGCCTTTGGCATTGTATAATTATTTGCTCTCTGAGAAACCTAAACCTAAGGGCTTCCTAAGATGGCAATAGTAAGAGACTCATGAAAATGGCCTTGGCAGACTCGCTGGTGCGCAACCTCCCACAAGCCCAGGTGGGGCAGCAGCTCCTACTGGGATCCAACTGGGGACCCTTGAAAGCTGGAGTACCTCCTCCCCTCACCCCACTGCAGGCTGGGTGGAAGTCCCTGCTGATGCACTAAAGCTGGTGACTTTTGCTTTCCTGTTGCTCCTTCTGTCTCTGGGCTCAGTCTTAGATTTGTATTGAGTTAATTTTTATATGTGGTATAGATAAGGGTCCGACTTCATTTTTTTGTATATAGATACCTAGTTTTCCCAGCACCATTTCTTGTAAAGGCTGTTTTTTACCTATTGATGCTTTTATCTAAAATAATTTGACTGTATATGCAAGGGTAATTTCTTTCTATTCCATTGGTATATACATCTGTTCTTTTATTTATTTTTATTTATTTATTTCAATTTGATCAGAGAGGGACAGAGTGAGAGAGAGAGAGGGAAAGTGAGAAAGCAAGCCACCAGGTCTGGGACTTGAACCACACACAGTTGGCCATGTAGGAATCCAGTGCCCTCAACCACCACGTACCTGCTGGCCCCCTTTATTCTTATGCCACTGTTTTGCTCACTGAACATGGCTTTCAATACTATGACCTTGTAATAAGTTTGAAATCAGGACTTGTGAGACCTCCCTCTACTAGGATTTAATCATGGGGCCCTTCCTAAATGATTTTATCAAATCCTAATCACCTCCCAAAGGCCTACCTCTTAATTCATATTTGGATTGTCTTTCTCCTCTTAATACCGTCACAATCCAATTCTAATGCATACATTTTGGAGGGACGTAGTCAAACCATAGCACTGGGTAATAGAATCGCATTTCTTACAGTTCTGGAGGTTGGGAAGTCCAAGAACCAAGTACCAGCATCTGGTGAAGCCCTTCTTGCTATGTTATCACATGACCATCCAAAGTTCTCACATGGTGGAAGGCAAAGGGCAAAAAAGACAAATGCCATGTCCTTACATGGCTAAAACGTAGAAGAGCGAGCTGGCTGAGTGCTATGTGAAGCCTCTTTTATGAGGGCCTGCCATTCACGAGGAGAAACTTAGGCTTAATTACCTTAAGAGGCCTTTTAGAAAACCTCACCTCTTAATATTTTCACTTTGGCAGCACCTAAATTTCGGAGAGACAACATTTAAACCATGGCAGTTTCTTATTATTGTCTTTTAATCTGTGGACTCAGAATGTCTTTTTCTTTTTTTCTTTTTTTTGAGAGGTTTTTGCTATAGGGCGCGTGCACTCGCCAGACAGTCAGAGAGAGACAGAGAGGCAGAAAGCGAGAAATCACTCCCCAGGGGGGATGGCCACGCTGCAATCTCTTCTCCTCCGTTCTCCTCTCAGGATCTTGGGCACGCACGCACACGCGCCCAGTGTGAGTTTTAAGCCACCAGGTTCAGGACGTGAACCGTGGTCGACTACGTGGGAGTCCAGCGACATAGCCATTGCACTAACTGCTGGCCCCCCTCAGAATGTCTTTCTATGTATCTGTCTTTAATGTATTTTTTAAAGAGATTTTTGCTATAGAGCACATGTGCTTGCTGGAGAGACAGAGAGACAAAAAGTGAGAAATCACCCCCCGGGAGGATGGACACATTGCAATCCCTTCTCCAGTCTCCTCTTGGGATTTTGGGCATGTGTGCTCACGTGCCTGGCATGAGTTTTTAAGCCACCAGGTCTGGGACTTAAACTATAGTCAACTATGTTGGAGTCTAGTGACATAACCATTATGCCATCTGCTGGTCCCCTATGATCCCATTTTTATTAGAATCTTCTGGGTAACCTATGCTTTATCACTCATCTAATTGATTCCTTTGATTCCTCTGTTTCTCTTTAGAATAGGGTGTGGTTAGAGTCCAGTGTTGGGAATGGCCATGCATTTGGCGTTATCAGTTAGAAGGCTTGATACCAAACTTTTCTACTTCTTTTCCTTGCTCTGCATTTTCTTAAATGTTTGACCATTTACATTTCATGTTTATTGTCTCAAAAACAAATGGCTGTTCCTTATAAGATAATTAGCTTTCTGAGTCAGCTTCATTTATTATACTGTTTCTATGCAAAAGATTATATTAGCCTGGAGCCTTATAGCATCTTAAGCCTTCTCAGGATAGTCCTTGTTTTTCCTTCTGACAGATTTTCGTTGGTTTGGTGGGGTACCTCTTATCTCCTTGGGTAAGAACACGGTGAAACAACCAGTATATGTAAGTACACTGAATGAGGGGCTTTAGCTGAATTTGGGTGATGGGTTTTCTGGTTTCATCCTATTCAGTTTACTTAGTCGTTTTCTTCTTTGTCCATTTGCTTCAGCGGGTTCCCTCTCAGTTTACATGTCTTACCAGTGTCTTCACTTGTTCATGGACATGAGAAAAGTTCATGAGCCCCTTAATGTACGTGTTACACTGTGTATGCCATCGGTCATAGAGATATTAACTAGGACACAGATTGCTCTCAGTCAGAGGACGGTGATTAAAACCGACCGTGCCGTGTGATGAGTGTTGTGATAGGGACAAGGCTCTATGTAAGTACATCAGATGGGCACCTTCCCAGACTTGGGCTTCTCAGAAGATAGAACGGCTAAGACCTTAAAGCTGACTAACAGTAAGTCACATGAAGGGAGAGTCCTCTATGCAGTGGGCCCAGACGTAGAAGAGCATGTCGGATTTCAATCCTAGGTTGAACCAGAGTGTTTAGTAGTGGCATTATGACGTTCTGGGGTGAATGATTCTCTGTTATAGGGACTGTGACAGGAAGCTCAGCAGCACCCTGACCTCGAGCCGTGAGCTCTAGTAGTACCACCTGTAGCTGTGACAACTAAGAACGTGTCCAGACAGCTGTCGGAGGTCCCCTGGGAGCTGAAATCAGCCCTGGTTGAGAACGACGGTGTCTAAAACCATCTGACATCACTGGTTTTGAAAGTCATGGTGGTAGGGTGTCAGCAGTTCTGTGTGGCTCAGCCCTAACCATGTCGGCTCGGTAACAGAGTTGGGAGGAGTGCAGAGAGATAGCGGGCGACAGCACACCAGGAGGGCTTTGAGCCTTCGGGAAATAAATGCATTCTGACTGGAGAGAGTACTTGGTGAGCCTTGTACTGTGGAGATTACGTGAGCTCCCGAGAAGGTTCTTGAAGAAGGTTTTCTGAAAACAGGCTGCCATTCTTTTAATTTGATCTCATTTTCTTTGCTATGTTTTCTGTCCTGCTTTCCTTTCTGCTTCCTTCCCTTCCTCCCTTTCTTCCCCCTTCTCCCTCTCTTTTTCAGCAGTTTTGTAAACTTATGTTACAATTATTATAATTATAGGTTGTGGATGTGTCCAAAGGAATTGTTAATGCAATTAAGGATCCAGATGCCAAAGGGAAAACCTTTGCTTTTGTTGGGTAAGTGACTAGAATTTGACTTAAGATTATTCTGTTACAAATGAAAGAATCTTACTGGCTTATAAGAAACAAGTTGCTAACACATTTACTTGTTGCATTTTTACAGTGTCAGAATCTCCTGAATGCTTACATAAGTCAGAATTTGAGGGGCTGGCAGGTGGCTTGGTAATTAAGGTGCTGGACTCCCACATGGCTGACTGTGGTTCGAGTCCCAGACCTGGTGACTTGCTTTCTCACTTTCCCTCTCTCTCTGGTCAAATTAAAAAATAATAACAAATAAAGAAATTAAATAAAATCCTTTTTTAAAAACAGAATTTGAGTGAACCTGGGAGCATGCATTCATAAGTGATCCTGTCATTAGAGTCTGAAAACCACTTCCTTAGAGTGCTAGATATACTTAGTCCAGTGATCCGTAGGGTTGATTTTATACTGCTCTAGTAATGTCTTTACTGTAGAGAAGGATACTGTTATAAATTTTAAAACACAAATAAATACTTTTAGGGTATGTTTATAATCAAATTAATTTTTTAAAGTTTATTTATTTCTTCCATGGAAGAGCAAGGCAGAGAGACATGCAGCCCCAACAGGGTCTTCATGCTGTGATCCACCCTCAGCCTCAGGGAGCCAGGATAGCACGCACGTGGCCGGTAACACCACTGACCTGGGTCTTCATGCTGTGATCCACCCTCAGCCTCAGGAGCCAGGATAGCAGGCACGTGGCCGGTAGCACCACTGACCTGGAGCGTACCCCAGATCGGGTTAATTTTGACTGGGTATTTCAGTGAAACCGCAGGTTGGAAATGGCCAGTTTAGGGTCTAGTTATTACTGCTGTCAAACTAATCCTCTGTAATATGCTCTCTTTGTTAAATTTTGCTCCCAGGTAAAATGGGATACAGGTAAACTAGGTAGCTTATCTGAAATTAGTAAATCATGTTACAGCTAAGTTTAGGATCTCGGGTTAATTTTGACTGGGTATTTCAGTGAAACCGCAGGTTGGAAATGGCCAGTTTAGGGTCTAGTTATTACTGCTGTCAAACTAATCCTCTGTAATATGCTCTCTTTGTTAAATTTTGCTCCCAGGTAAAATGGGATACAGGTAAACTAGGTAGCTTATCTGAAATTAGTAAATCATGTTACAGCTAAGTTTAGGATCTTTTTGCTGAATTATCTAAAAGTCAAAAACAGGCTCAGTCTATCCCATTGAAAAGTGTCAGATTCTCCTAACAAGTAGTCCAGAACCGTCATTCTGTGAAACTAACTAATAGCACTTGATAGTCAGGGAAGTAGTCCAGAACCGTCATTCTGTGAAACTAATAGCACTTGATAGTCAGGGGAGGGAAAGGCCTGATTCAACAACAGCTAACCTAAATCTTGAGAGTATTTCCTCTGAGAGAGAATGACACTTTTCTCTCTGAGACAAGAATAGTATACTAGTATACATTCCCCGGATTTGAATTCATACATCATCACGTTTGTTATTATTATTTAGTTTAATAGAATGTTTTTCAGTAAAACATTACATTTGCTCCTCACCGAATGACCTAGTTCCCTTCCTACGACTAGGTTGGTAAGTGCGGGGCTTAGGCAGATGTCTTCTGGTGTGTCGTGGCCCCATAGGGATGTTTGTCCAGTGGATGTCATGTGACGTCATGCTAGAATAATGTGATTCTATCCAGACAAGAAGCATACATCAGAGAAGTCCCAGAAAGTAATAAGACACATCACATTGTGTGTGTCTTACTATATTAATATTAATCCAGCATAATTATTTTTATTTATTCCAGATACTATTGGTGTGCAATAAAAGTACAAATTTATAAACAAACTGTAGTCGTGGCCCCATAGGGATGTTTGTCCAGTGGATGTCATGTGACGTCATGCTAGAATAATGTGATTCTATCCAGACAAGAAGCATACATCAGAGAAGTCCCAGAAAGTAATAAGACACATCACATTGTGTGTGTCTTACTATATTAATATTAATCCAGCATAATTATTTTTATTTATTCCAGATACTATTGTGGGTGTGCAATAAAAGTACAAATTTATAAACAAACTGTAATTATCAAGGTAGTGTGGTCATGACATGTAAGCAAATGGAAGGGGAGAGAGTTCACTAAATGGTTCAGTAAATGGTCCTGAAGCAGTTGGAGGAGGTCTTGGGAAAGTATAATAATGTCCTTGCCTTATATTGTGCACGGAATATGTCACAGACCTAACTTACTTTATGGCTTTTTCAAAAGCAACTTAAAGCCATTAGATAAAATGTCCGGGGCCAGATAGTAGTGCAGTGGTCCCACTGCCGAGCCTGCATGGCTTCCTGGTGGTGGTGCAATGGTCCCACTGCCAAGCCTGCATGGCTTCCCGGTGGGGGGGGGGCCCCCACCGCGGAGCCTGCATGGCTTCCTGGTGGGGGTGCAATGGTCCCACTGCCAAGCCTGCATGGCTTCCCGGTGATAATACAGTGGTCCCATCACCGAGCCTGCATGGCTTCCAAGTGGAGGTGCAGTGGTCCCACCGCCGAGCCTGCATGGCTTCCCTTGGTGGCCCAGTGGTCCCACTGCCGAGCCTGCATGGCTCCCCAGACCTCCCTGCACAGGCCGTACATGTGTGCCCATGACCCAGGCTGCCTAACACTGGGCAGTGGTGGCATGTGGACCCTGTTGGGGAACCTGTCTCTTTTTCCCTCTCTTCATCCCCCTCATGGAACACTGGAACAAGTAAACTAACAGACTAAATAAAAGCATTGGACAACATAGGTGGAAATTTATGTCCCTATAGAGGAATTTTCTTCTTCTTTTTAAAATTTTGCCAGAGGGCATGTGTACTCACCAGAGAGGGAGAAAGAGAGATACAGAGAACCAGAGAGAGAGAAAGTGAAAAATTACCCCCCAGAGGTATGGTCACACAATCCCATCTCATTTTCCTCTTGGGATTCTGGGCATGCAAGT